CATTATATATACATAGCTTAGTAAACATTTGCATACCATATTACCAAGCCATCATGCACATAACCTGATACTCTTCACATACAACATAACCCGGTTACTATAAACATAACCTGATAATAATCTACATAACTTATCACCCGGTAACTATATAGATAACCTGATAATCATCTACATAACTTATCACCTGGTAACTATATAGATAACCTGATAATAATCTACATAACTTATCACCCGGTAACTATATACATAACCTGATAATCATCTACATAATTTATCACCCGGTAACTATATAGATAACCTGATAATCATCTACATAACTTATCACCCGGTAATTATACACATAACCTGATAATAATCTACATAACTTATCACCCGGTAACTATATAGATAACCTTATAATCATCTACACAACTTATCACCCGGTAACTATATACATAACCTGATAATCATCTACATAACTTATCACCCGGTAACTATATAGATAACCTGATAATCATCTACATAACTTATCACTCGGTAACTATATAGATAACCTGATAATCATCTACATAACTTATCACCTGGTAACTATATAGATAACCTGATAATCATCTACATAACTTATCACCCGGTAACTATATAGATAACCTGATAATCATATACATAACTTATCACCCGGTAACTATATAGATAACCTGATAATCATCCACATAACTTATCACCCGGTAACTATATAGATAACCTGATAATCATCTACACAACTTATCACCAGTGTTTACAAACATATTATGGGATCTAGAATTTAATTTGTTCAGATATGACTATGCTTTATGTAGTTATGAATCTGTTTTATCTGATATCACCTCACCTTATTGTTGTAAGAGTTTCATAAGTACAGGTAGTCAGAAACGTATTAGAGTTAATAAACCCTCGTTTAATGATGAGTGTAAAAAACGTTTTAAGCACTACAAGCATGCTCTACACGCTTTCAATAAGAATAAAACAAAGCATAATCATATTAATTTAATTGAAGCTAAATCCCAATATAAGAAACTTGAAATCAAACTGAAACAAATCTATAAAGTACAACAAGGAAATATGATGAATTTTGTACGAAAACAAAACCCTAAAGCCTTCCATAAGCTATTTAAGAAACGTAAATCTAGTATTAGTGCCGACGTTCCCCTTCAAGATTTTCATACACATTTTAAGAATCTCATAGGATCTCCCAGGAAGCATTGACACAATTGACGAATTCTTAGCAACCCATGATGATGCACATCACTCATATGAATCTAATAAGGATCTCGACCAACCCATAACCACTTCTGAAATAATAAAAGCTATAAAAAAAATTGAAAGCGAGTAAAGCATGTGGTGGTGATAATTTATTAAACGAGCTTTTTATTCATTGTGGAGATGAACTTTTACCATCTTTAAGTGTATTATTTAATAATATTTTAAACTCTGGTTGTTTTCCATCAGCTTGGTGTGAAGGACACGTTGTCCCTGTATTTAAAAATAAAGGTGATCCAAATCTCCCAGAAAACTATAGAGGTGTTACATTATTAAGTTGCATGGGTAAATTATTTACCCAAATTTTGAATATTAGACTACAAAACTTTGATGAAACATATAATATCATTTCACCCGGCCAATTTGGATTTAGAAAAGAGTTATCAACCACAGATGCAATAGTTGCCCTACAATCCTTAGTTAATCGTACTTTAAAGTCCAAAGATTATACTGTTGCTTTGTAGACTATAAGACCGCTTTTGATTCCATTAACCAAAGTTGTCTATGGTATAAATTGATCAAAGAAGGAATTGATGGAAAAATTTTAAGACTTATTAGATCATTATATGAGAAAGTGAAAATTCTTTAATTGTTGCATTGGTCTTTTCCAGGGAGAAATATTATCTCCCATCCTTTTTTCACTTTACGTAAACGATATAGAATCAAACTTTATCTCCGACAATTGCCCCGCAATTTCATTGTTGTCTTTAAATCTTTTCTTATTAATGTATGCAGATGATAAGGTATTAATCTCAGAAACTCCAGAGGGCTTCCAAGATTTACTAAGTTCACTTGAGAAATATACATCCAAATGGAAATTAACTGTAAATGAAGCTAAAACAAAAATACTTGTTTTCCGAAATGGTGGCAAATTAAAAGGCAATGAGATTTGGACTTACAATAAGCAGCCATTAGAAATAGTAAACGAATTCAACTATCTCGGAATTTTATTGAATTTTAATGGTAAATTTACAAAAACCTAAAGGAATATATCTGAGAAAGGTAGAAAGGCTATATATTCAGTTTCTAAAGTGTGTAAAGATAATTATTTTAATGTAGAAACCAAACTTTTCGTTTTTAATACCTATGCATTGAATGTCTTCTTTGAGTTGTTAATGTATTAAACATCTTTACAATATTTATTAATAAAAATATCTTGACCTAACCTCATGCATCACTGACTACATAAACACTTTCAAATATAACCCCTCACCCGAAAATGTGACCATTGATAGAAGGTCGAAGTTATACCGAAATACAGGTCAATGTCCTGGTTTAGTTGACACCTTCTCTCCGCATTTTACTTCAACAGTCACTGTGTACCAGCGTATAAAACCCCGGATACGCTCTAAAGGAGTTTTTCAGAAGGTAAAGATTTTAAGTTCGTGAGGTACATATTTTAATGCACAATATTTAAGAAATATTTTTTCTTAGGTGTATTTAAATTTTTATATGACGCATAAAAGACATATGTACGGAGCACCTAAGGCGCAATTTTCAACACTTTTTAAAATTACTCCGTTTTAACGAATTAGTTATTTCGTTAAAACTTACACGAGTGAATACAACCATTCAGAGCCAATCACAGAACGTCTGTAAAAAATATTATATTTACAGTCTTTCTGTCGGAGACTCTGAAAATGTTAGCTTGCCTACAAGACAAATTCGTCATTTTTTATTTAAGTCGCAAGGGCAATAACTCCAATAAATCCAATTATTATCAAATTGTTAGCGAAAAGATATCATGTTTCGATAAACTAACAAACGGACTTAAAATACCTATACCGGGCTTTTTTCCGAAATTCTGAGATAGTTAAGCTTTCACACCAGACTTCTGACGTAATTCTAGAATCTGACACAATCTGCTAAATACTTCAACCATGCTTTTTAGTAGTTTTTTGGTAGTTAGTGACTGAAATCGTTCAGTTGCTGCAACTGACCATTACTATAGAATCTGACACAAATACTTCAAAACAATATTGGAGTGTATGTGTGTATCAGTATATGATCACCACTACCACTTACACGAGTGAATACAACCATTCAGAGCCAATCACAGAACGTCTGTAAAAAACATTATATTTACAGTCTTTCTGTTGGAGACTCTGAAAATGTTAGCTTGCCTACAAGACAAATTCGTAATTTTTTATTTAAGTCGCAAGGGCAATAACTCCAATAAATCCAATTATTATCAAATTCGAATTTGACAATGACCTCACTTAATATACATGCATACCAAGTTAAATGAAGATCGAATAAACACAGGTCGTTATTGTGGCAACAATTTGACGCGTTGTACTAAGTCAAGGACAATAAACCCAAAACCGTACATTCGATTATTATCAAATTCGAATTTGACAAAGATCTCATTAAATATAGGCTACATGCATACCAAGTTAAATCGAGATGGAATAAACACTAGCATCTATTGTCCTACAAGACAATATTTGACGCGTTTTTACTAAGACAATAAATCTAAAATCGTTCATCTGATTTTTACAAAGCTCGGACATGGCTGGAATCTCAACAATATATTCACACATACCAAATTTTATCAAGATCAAATAAAACTGTAGCCTCTATTGTGTCTCCTCTTGAATGTGAACGGATCGACAGACAGATGGACAAGGGCGACTTCACATGGGCGTATAAAAACTGACTAAAAAAACATGAAAAGAAATGATATCATAACCCATTTTGGTTCGTTTAAATGAATTGATTATTTCTTTAAATCAATTGATTTTTAGTTTAGAAGACTTTTTTGTTGAGTTTAAACGAAATGAATATTGAGTTTAAGCGAATTGATTATTGAGTTTAAGCGAATTGATTATTGAGTTTAAGCGAATTGATTATTGAGTTTAAACGAAATACATTTGATTGTATATTTTTTTAGTTCGTTTAAACAAAGTAGTACAATGTATTTCGTTTAAAATAAATATAAAATGAAATAAGTGACTCGTTAAAAAGAAATAATAATTTCGTTTAAATAAAATTATAATTTCGAAGAAATGATATCAAGACCGTGGGGCTCCGTATACATATATCATCAGAGTATAATGTTAGTTATGTGGACTCTGAAAGTTAGAAATTTTAGTCTCAGTGTTAAGGTTTATTGAGCACACTATTATGATTATTGCAGACAATAAGGCAATTTTGTGGCATTCGTCGCATAGCTCAATATTTAACAGACGATCTTTTTTAACGGACGTTACATTTTCGAGCCAACGTAATTTGATAAAAAGTCAATTTTACATCTTTATTACACAAATCGGGAAAAGTGACCAAGATGACTATTTACCGAGAAAACTATTGTATTGTATTATAATTATATATAAATTGATACTATTTACATTAACATAAACTACACTATATATAATATAATATGCTAGACTGGCCCAGAGTTATGTTAAACAGTTTTTGGGGGAGAACTAAGTCAAGTGAAACACTCGCTTTTGTTGAGTGCTTAAGTTGTTACATGCTGATCGGGCACAACAAAAACGTACTAGTATCCCCTTAGACAATAATCGTCACTTCCCTGACGTTTTCTCAATAATGTATTTATTCCATCCTTGGCCTGTACATTTAGGAGAATCAAACCCTCCCTTCCCCGTAAACAACCTGTTCCATAATCTGTCGCGTCCGTAACACTAAAATCTCATAATATATATGTACTTCCACTTTGATGGTCAAACTTAAGAATCTCATTTGTTTTATTTACAGTTACAATGCTGAAGATTGTCCTTATAGTGTTATGCTTTCTGAGTAACGAAGCTCAAGCTGGAAATTTCTTGTTATTACCATTACCCGTCACAAGTCACTGCCTACAGTTAGCTGGTATCGCCAGAGAGTTGATAAAGCGTGGTCACGAAGTCTCAGCATATATCCCAGAGTCGTTTAAGAAATCACATTGTTTCGATGACACAGCAGTCAAAATTATTTCTTTTCAAGATAGTGAACAATATATACACTTTAAGAAGTATTTCGATAAAGGAATGATAAGAGAAATATTTCAAGGAAAGACGATTACTGTTAGCTATAAAATAATAGCCAATCTTGTTGCCATGGGTAACGAAATGTGTGTGAATGCTCTAGCAGATACCAAAAAGCTTGAAAGTTTGAAGTCCTTGATGATTGACATCTCTATCATTGATGTTACACAACCATGTCTTACGTACGTAGCCAAGTATCTGAACACAAGTACCGTTTTGGAAGGCTCATACATACCTCCCGGAGTTACCGGTCCACCACAAACACACACGGACCCCTTTCGATTCACAACCTTTACAGACGTAATGAATTTTCCCCAAAGAGTATTGAACACGTTGGTGACTGTTGCATTCGCGGGACCTATAACGACTATGATTGTAAGATATAATAGTATCGATAAAACTAGATTAAAAGACTTGCATTCTCGTATTCTAGATGCAGATCCTTATACCATGGCCAGACAATCAGTATTATTTCTTGAAAACAGTATGGATTTTGTAGATTACCCTAAAGCTTCTTATCCTAACTATATCCGCGTCGGTGGGCTAACAACTCGGCCAGCTAAACCATTGTCGCCAGAATTAAATAATTTCTTTAATAAAGCTAAAAACGGAGTAATTGTGGTATCTTTTGGGAGTATGTTAACAAAGGCACCGGAACATTTCTTTAAAAGAATTGTGAAGATTTTTCAGCAGTTTGATCAGAGTATTGTGATGTCATATCATATAAATAGTGAACACGGTAATGTGAAAACTATGTCATGGTTGCCACAAAATGATGTTTTGGCTCATAAAAATACCATCCTCTTTGTAAGCCATTGTGGTAAGAACGGTTTCAACGAAGGACTTTATCACGCTGTTCCTATCGTTTGCACACCATTTCATACTGATCAAGTAGCACATGCCACGAAGGTGAAGAATCTGGAGATCGGAACAGTTCTTGATTTGACCAACTCGGATGACGACACTGTTATTAAAATTTTAAAGTGGGCATTAAACGAAAAAGTGCTTCAGAAGAATATTGAAAGATTATCAGCTATATTTCACGATGCCCCCTTCAATCCTCAAGAAAAGGCTGCAAACGCATTGGAACATGTTCTGAAATTTGGAGGTGACCATTTGAGACCAGCTTCGACCGACTTCAATACCATTTCAAACAATCTAATAGATGTATGGTTTATCATATTTACATGTCTCGTTCTTTGGATGTATGTGTCTTACAGATTCATAAAATGTTGCTGTTCGTGTGTTTGTAGAAGACGTAAAAGTTCCAAAAAACAGAAAAATGAATAAATTGGGTAGAAAATTTACCGACAAAAGTACGTACTTCTAGAACATGGAAACTCTCTCATCATCCAGAGATACGTCCTTTTCAAAACGGCCGAGAAATTGAGGTTTATTTACATTAATTAACAAGCAAATTGTAAGCGAAAAGATATTATGATTCGATAAACTAACAAACGGGCGTAAAATAGCTATACCGGGCTTTTTTCCCTCACTAAAACTCATATTAGTATTACCCCTGTATTGTGTGACCTCCACTGACTCCCAATCCCATCGCATTAATTCAAAATACTTGTACTTAAATGTCATCCGGAGCACTATGAGCCCATTCGCAATCTCCGTTCAGTTTGTCAGATTGTTTCGAACCTGTCATTGCTAATAGTAAACTGAGAGAGCGCTCTTTCCGATGTGCAGCTCCGAAGCTCTGGAAATCACTGTCTCGTTTACTAAATCAAAATAATCGTATGATGTATTTAATAACAATTTGAAAACCGAACTGTTCAAAAAGGCTTTCTAAACTCAACATTTTGTAATAGTAGGCTTGTATACATTGAGGTTCATTTTTATTGACTAGATCACTTTGTGCCATTTTTACTATGTTTGCTATTATTATGTTTAATGCCCGATGTATTTTTTAAGTATTATAATTATATGACTGTATCTGCACCACTGAGCTGCTATTTTAAAAGGAGTGTTTGGGCATTATAAATGCAATAAATTAATTCTTCTTCTTCTTCTTCTTCTTCTTCTTCTTCTTCTTCTTCTTATTATTATTATTATGATCGGTAGATGATGAATTCCATGTTCCATGCCTTTGAAGTCCATTGATCTATTTGGTGTGTAATATACGAAATGAACTCTATTACCTAGTTGAAGAAACTTGTACAGCAGATTGTAATTGTATTTCTATCTTACCATATATAAACTTTAATATTGGTTCAGGAAAGTTTACAAGAGTGAAACCATAAAAATCCAAACCACGGAAAGAGTCTGAAATGATATTTCATGGGAACAATAAATACGAAGCATTAGATCAGCTTAACACAGTAATGACACATTGTAATCCTATTGTTCCGGATCTTATTAATCGGAAATACGAGATATTTGAACGAAGCCAAGAGAAAATTTACTAAATTTACTTTGAAATGGATCGATTGTGACCATAGTCTGAGTATATGACTAGTGATTATTTGAGGTACTTGTCGACTTGAGGGAATTTTTAGTCACGACTGATTGAATCAATAGTAACCTAGCTTAATTATAGTTACTGGATTTAGTTATCTTCTTATTATAGTCTCTTTCTTTCAGAGATATCCCGTTCTATTCTTTGTATAATGTGATAGTGCCATAACAAAGCTAAATAATGATCTGAAAGTAAATATGGTACTTATTTTGACAAAACAACCTGACAAGTAAAAATTTGCCTTAACTTAGCCAATATCAATAAATTTTAAAATGTTAATAAATGATTCTAATTGATACAGATATTTTGCGATATTTTGATTAAAGAATGCTTCGTTATTGATATGTCAAACAATCTCGGAACACACGGTATAAGAACATCTTGAATTACTTCCCTTGAAAAAACGATCCTTTGAAAAGATCTGTGGCACGACCTGAAAACAGTATTTTCGGAATTGTCCAAAAAGATAGATATTTGTCAGATGCCAGATGTCTCTAATTTCCAAGTTCTACGTTTCCAACAAAAACGGAAATTGTCGACAATCTAGTTCAAGTGATCCATGCTCCATTTGGTTACGTCTTTAATGTCAAGACCGTAGCTACAGGGATCCCCCCACCCCTTCCGAAAAATGGATTGCCCCCCGTTGAAAATATTTTGACCACCGACCACTTCCATTACTGCAAATAAACACCATACACCATTGGCCCTCCAGATATATTACTAGCCCCTCCGAACAATTAAGTCTGGCTACGGGCCCGTATTTCGATGGTTTGAGTGGTATTTACATTTATTTGTGAATTGGTAAGGCCTTCAGTCCACACAATCCAGCTAAACGGTACAGCCTTTGGTGTTCAATCCAGAGTAATGTGTATCATATATTTTGTATGACACAGAAATGACACAGCTCAAACCATATTGATGTTAGTGAAAGAGACTATCTTTCATTAAGTTTACACTGACAGTTAGTCTCTTAAGACGGATAGGATAGATCATTGAACCGTACTTAATTTCAAATCCACAATGTTTTTTTCGAGAAAAATGTTTTCTTGAAGATTTGTTGAAGAAAACAGATGATTTTTGAGCTGTCAGTTTCTGCCACTATCAGTTTTTATAAAGATCTCTTAAAATGTCGAACTGTAGATTAAAAACAATTAGATTTAGTGGATTTCATTCTATTAGAAAATTGCATTTTCAAGCATTGAACATTGCGTCATGGTTCATTTTATTCAAATAATAGTCCGAATCGAATGCTGAAGACATATATATAAAGGGTCTATGCTCAAGATGATCAAGCTGTGCAGGTGCTTGAAGGGGGGCGAGGGATAATAGTGGATACTATGGAGATGAAGGTGGGGGCGTTTAAATTATTAAGAACAGGACCCTGTGAATGTAGACTAATATCCAAAAGGACTTAATGATGTATTATGGATTCCCCTATATATAAAAGCCAAATATTTTCATGCATCCTCTAGCACCTAGATATAATGCCGACCTTGGAAGTTTGGCTCTGGCTCTATAATATATACGCAATTACCTATAATGTCCTACTACAAAACCCGGCTGTTCGGACTAAAATTAACTAAAATTAGTTCCAATGTAAAGTTGTCATCCATTAAAGACTTCCATTATAGACTGTACAGTTGATAAAATTTGGTGGAATTATGTTTTTGCCAAAACTAAGTGGTGATTCTCATTGATTTATCTATACTTGTTGAATATTTACATTAGAATAAGTGACGTAGTTTTTAGATTGAGATTGGATTCTTCTAAGAGACATCGAGTATTTCTTCCACGTCAATAAAACTGTCACAAGTTAGGTTGGTTAAACCATGTCAATGTTAACGGAAATGTAGTGGCTGGCAGCATTCGTCTCTGAAAATATAATCGGATTTGACTCATTGAGTCACACTCGCCTAAATAGGAGTCATGCTCGTCTAAATAGGCGTCACACTCGTCTAAATAGGAGTCACGCTCGTCTAAGTAGGAGTCAAGCTCGTCTAAATAGGGGTTCCTTTGATCGATAGCAATATATATAGGTAAGGACGGAACACAGGAAATCTTTGTTGTATTTTAATATGATCGGTGTAGGACAGGAATCAGAAGATTTCAGAATTACAGTAGTGAAATACCTCGATTAAAAGTTTTGTTTACCGAAAATATGACCACTGGGAGAAAAACATCTAAAAAGCAAGTTGTCTAATATTAAACCAAGCGAACAAAAATGAAAATTTTCAAATCAAAGGGATTGCAAAGAGGTTTTCTAAAATAAATTTTGTCGGGGGGGAAATGTACGATATAAAAACATAACTTTCTGGAGCATTTGTCCGAGGACAATGGGAGAAACATATCGAAACGTTGCATAAAAATTTAAACATGATTGCCGTTCTATAAAGCCGTGATGTATCCCTTTAACAACTATTTCCCTTAATGTACATGTATCTATAATTCGAGTACCTTGATTGATTGTAAATAGAATACCAGTATAGTGATAATTACCACGTGATGGAGACTGTATGATTAATACAAGTTGACAAAGGACGATGTTAACTTGATCAAATAACCTCCTATTATTAAACCCAATTCTAGATAATTGTAATCTATATATTTATAATAAAATCTATCATTTATTTAACTTGGTAATATTTACACATCAATTCTTGTATGATGACCTTTAATCAATGAATTTGACCTCATCATGCACTGCTCTTGATTTATCACATCATATTTCATCTCATGTTTTCATTGATGTTGTAAAAACCATTTTACTTCAAAAAGAATGTTGTCTTTATACCGAAGATAGCGTATTAATTATTGTGAGGACTTTGTGGTTTGTTAAATTATTACATAGAAAATAGACACTGAAGTCGAAAGCAATTACTTTGAGTCCTAATGATAATTATACCACTTCCGGTAAGCAAAAAGTAGACCCAGTGTTTCCACGAAACCTTTAAAGGTGATGAGAGCATGCAATCATAGGCGGACGGACCGAAGGTCGGTTGAGAGAGCAGGCTTTTTTTTTCACGAATTTTACCTGAATTTTCTTTGTTTTCGGGTTGTTGCCCGAAAAGAAAATATTTTGGGGGCATCAGATTTATTATGATCTTCATTTTCGAGATATTAAGATGACTGGAAACAGATAATATATAAATGACCAAGATTACCAACTTGTCACCCGTTCATATAATTTTTAATTTTATGAAACTTAGCTGGAATTGGAAGAAAACTTTTTTGGAAAATATTTTTAAGAAAGATGATGTGTCCTAATTTGAGAGGAATACTTATTAAGAGGATAATACACCTTTAAATATTGCTGCAATTATCAAATAGATACCTTATTAATAGTTCTATTGTGTCTGGATATAGAGAATAGAAAACGGAAAATACCATTAGAATAGCTTGGCACTTAATCTATTTCCTGACCATGTTGGAATAAAAGGACACGTATTTACACTTACTAAAAAACAATGATAAATTGAACTATTTTGTAGCAATGGTTAATTGTTTTTAGATATTGTCTACAGTATTATCTCTCTAAGCATGGATGAAACCTATTTATATTTGTTCATTAAACCATTTCCTTTCATTCCACAGTTATTTGCTTATTTTCATTAGAAACAATGTGTTTTGCTTTAAAACATTTAAGTCTCACAAAGGTCAAAATGGGACTTAACAATAGGTTTTGACATGCTCTTAGTATATATGAAATTTAAGTATTTCTGTATGAGAACATTTGTATGGTTTGAAAAAAAATTGAAATACGAATTTGAACAATAATGTCTCTCGAAGCAGAATCTAGAATAATCTTGTGTAAGCTCAGCGCAATATC